ATGACCCCTTTGTAGTCTCTCTTTGTTACACTAAGGCTTCACCATTATCGGTCCCTCTTGGTGGATGGCTATGGTGGGCAATCGATGTTATCATACCTAGTTTTGGGTTTGTGAGAAGATCTAAGAAGGTAGGACAAGGTCTCGTGGATGGAGCCTCCATCTGAAATAGGTTCACGAGACCTCATCACTCATCACATCAAATGCTCGTTACATGAGACTCCTTATTTCCAACAAGAACCTCAACTTCAAAGAGGTTTGGGGTTGGACCAAAACTTAGAAGCCACCGTCTGGCTCATGACATGAAAAAGTGTTTGTTGGGAGACAACCCATCAGTATGCACTTTCTTTCCCTAGTCTCTTCAATTAAGTCAGTTGTGTGCTCTTTGAGTTTAGAGTCAATAACTCAACCTTTTTGAGATTGTGGTGTTCTAGTATTCTAGTTTCTCTTCAGAATCTTGTAGGTCCTCCTGTGCCATCCACCATCCTTAATACATGATCTATTATATTTCCTCCATTGAGAATAATGTCATGTTTAAGTGTGGGGGGATGTTTCATTATGTATGGGTGTGACTGAATGGTGAGAACTAATGTCTCCCTTGGAGCATAGTCCGCTGTCAAATTTTTTAAAAATTTAAGGGCTCCAAGTGCATTGTCCTATGCATTTCCATGCTCATTGTATTTGAATTACTGTTTGTATGATGGTATGTTGTTTCCATGCTCAATTTGATTTGAATTGCTAGTCTTTATGATGGTATGACCTAAGGAGGATGTTGTAGCGCTATGGTGGATATTGGTACATGAGAGGTCTTCTTTACATTTCACAATGTTTCTGTTGACATGTTGATTAGTATTTCTATAACCTTTAATTTTTGTAGTGTCGAAACTCAAACTTTTTTCGAACTAAGAAATGTTTTTTGAGAAAGTGCTCTGAACTTCACTTAAGGAATGAGTAATGTAAAGAACGTCTCACGTGATGTAGAAACCCGTAAATATACTTATGAAAATTTCATAAGGCTCGTCTTAAGAATCAGAGTGCGCTTTGAGAATTGTGTCTCAGATGTACATATAAACTTTTTGGTACCCTTACTTACACCGGTCCTCCTCACGGACTTGATAGAGAAGAGAATGTTTCTTCGCATCAAGCCATGAGACCTTAGTTGACAAACATCTCATATGTTGTGGAAACTTATCAAAAACTTAGGTCGAACGCCACAGGTCTCCCCTAATGATAGGAGTTAATCTTTGTAAATTGTGTTCAGAGAGTACATATAGAGCTTCTGACACACCTCTCTAGACCGCTTCCTCGCATGGGCCTGAGAAGTGATTGTCACTTTTGCTCTGGTAGCGAGATAGTAAATCCTGCAAGATCCTTTAAGCTTTGAAAAAAAAATAAAGAAGGCGGAAGAGAAATGAGAAATACTAAAAAGCTCGACAGTTAGAACCTTTGAAGAAAGAGCAAAAAAACAAGTCCACAGTTTTTCACGATTTTTAGAGTGTCATCATGCACAAGTTGTCTATCCTATATCTATTATTAAAAATTCTACCAATGTAAGGCTAGTGTCCTCGCTGAGATGGTTGGGAGTTCTCTGGTCACTAGTTGATTTCATAAGTTGCTAGTTACCCACTACCGACGATCAAAAGTCGCATGCTTCCATGAAGTTATAGTAAGTTTCACTACTATGAGTATGGTTTGCTTAGAGACAATAAAATGGTCAAATGTGGGGGAGTTTGATATGTGCTTAAGTATACTGGTTTGCCCCTTGTCTCTTGATTGTTTCTTGACCATTTGTCTTGGAAAGGCCTAATTATTTACCGATGTTACGCTAGATTGTGTTCTTTTGTCCCTATTTCAGGTCATAACATGTGGAGGAATTTTAGGAGCTATTTTCAAGACGTTTGGAGGAAGTTTAGGAGCTATTTTCAAGACGTTTGGAGATCGAAAAGGGACAAAGTGGAGGCATACCAAAAGTTATGGGCTAGGGATGACGTTTGGTAAAAAGTCATGGCCCATACTGTGACATTGAGGCTAGGAAGCAGAAACACTTCTCAATAACACAGTCGTGGCATTAGGCCGTAACATTGACTCTGTTGCAGGTATAAATGGGTGTTTTGCGAATTTTGAAGAAGGAGCTGGGGTTTTGGAACCTAGACACACAAGGGATGAAATCTAGAGAAAATCGACTTTGGAACATTTATAGAGCTATTTTGGAGGATTTCTTCGCCATTGGAGTCCAAGAATCAAGTTTAGGAGTGTAAAGAAGAATCTCATGACCACAATGAAGTTTTTCATCTTCACATCTATACTTCCTTATATCTTTATGGAGTAACTTCCCTTCACCTAGGTTGAGGAACTCAAGCTATGTTTGTTTGATTGGACGATTGTATGAGTACTATTTCTTGTCTAACTCTAGTTCATATTCAATTTGTGCATGTTTATGGTTCAATTATACTTTAATCAAGATTATTAATTCTGCTTTGATTCTATGGGAGGTAAAACCTAATTAGGTCAATAGAGCACCATAGATTGGAAATAGGGGATCGATTACACAAGAACGAGTCAATTCATTGCTTTGTATTGAGTGACATCCTTGCTCTATAGGAGGAGTCTAGTTCTGAATTGCCTTGGTATTCAGTCTTCGTTGAGGATAAGCCCTCCAAGCAGTCTATTAAATAAGTCCTTGTTTGCTTTAATCAAGTTTGAAGGCTTGTTAATGACTTTTTGCATTATGAATGAAGAGTGAAATAATTTTTAGCATCATGAATCATTAATCCGGCCAGTGGCTAATAGGAATCAATACATGAGTGAGTTTCGAATTTGTAATTAGTCTGACTTTTTTGTAATTTTTAGAATAGTTGTAATTCTCTTACCCGAACCCGAATTGCTAAATAATAAAGTGAAGTTGAGTAACAGTAAATCTAGAGACCCGTGGATTAGATATTTTATTGCTTGTGTCACTACACTGCAGCCCCTTTCTTTGGTTTTACTTGGCCTTAGTTAGGAGTGCAGTTTGTAGCGACCGATTACTATAAACAGTTAAAACAACTCTAACAAACTACGAAAGGGTTAAACTATCTAATTAAAAGGTTGGAGAATCACTCAGGTAGTTATTCCCCACAGTCACTAGCTAGGTTAATGATTGTAAAACTTCTTTAAGTCTTCATTCATGATGAAGAGAGTTCTTAACAAGCCTGAATCTCGATTAAAGCAATCGAGGCCCTCTTGAGTCATTTGCTTAGAGGGACACTATCCTCTACTAAGACAACCGATCAAGGCAATTCACACTAGCCTCCCTCTATTGGTTAAATTCTCGCCAAATACAAAGTAACTCGTATAATGCATCCCCTACTTCCAATCATGTTGCTCTATCAACCTAATAAGATATTATCTCTTCTAAGTCAAAGTTGAAATCAATAATACTTTATGAAGGCAAAATTGATTCAATAAACATGCATAGATTGGATATGAACTCAGGTTTAACAAGTAAGAGTATTCATACAATCATCAATGCAACAAAACATAACTAGGGTTCGTCGTATCCAAGTGAAAGGAAATTTACTCCATAGAGAGAGAAATAAATATAAGGAAGAAGATGAATGACTTCATGGTGATAAGAACATTCTTATGACATTCAATTTCCTCTTTTGAGCTTGTTCCTCGAGCTCCAATTGTGAAGAAATCGCAGAAAATAGCTCCACGAACTCTCCAATAACACACTATCTCTCTAGACTTCGTCCATTAGGTTTTGGGAGTCCAAAATCCATCTCTAATTCAGAAATCACAGACAATCTATTTATACCTAAAATAGAGTCTAAGTCACTGTTGAAGTCAATACCTTAACTTTGGGATTTCTGGATGTGACTTTCAACATGCACCATTTCACTTAGCAATTTTAAGGGGTTGTCATGGTCCTTACATTGATGGAAGCCATGTTTGTGACTTTGAGAAGTGGTTCTACCTTCGAGCCTTCGTCTCACGATTTGGAATCGAAGAAGTCATGACCATGACAAAGGGAGGTGGTCGTTGTGACTCTTGATTAGGGTTATGAACAAGAGTTACTATCTTAGATGGAATTCTCTCGGTCATGACTTTCCTATCCCATCTTCTTCCTGTTGCTTGTCACCCACTACCGAACCCTTCTCGTTGCCAACCTCTCCCCTTCATATCTTGCTCTCTTTTATTATCTTTTAATCTCATTTAACACATGTTGCTTCTTCTCGTCTCTGTCTCGAGGGGTATCCTATCTATAAAACTCGTGGTCAAATCTCCGTTAGGTGTTGGAGAATTGGTGCTTCCATTGAGTTTAGATATAGTTCAACGAATCGAGATTAGATTTTTATTTTCGTAATTTTTTATCATTATTATTTTATAATTAATTTAATTTTGAATTTTAAATATCTTATGTGTCAATGACGGATGACATGTTAGTGAAAGTCAACAACAATTGACTTCCGTTTGATCAACTGTTATCACTAACAGTTAATGTAAGGCTTTAGGATAGATATGTAAGTCGTGCTAGAATTGTCATATTGAAAAAAATATAACATAAATTACATTTTTTATAGTGTAAGTGTTGTAGTGGTATTAGCCAAAATATACCAGAAAACAAAGGGTTAATATATTTGTCTGGACTGAACTTTTCACATATTTAACATCCTGACCAATTTTTTCGATCTCTAACATCTTGACCATAACTATCCCTAATGTTTAATAAACTAGCCAATTTCAAGAGTTGACCATTATGTTGGACGGCAAAAAACATTGACTAACGTCAACCTGCCATGTCACTACTTAGTCACCTATATTGATGATGTGGATGCCACATGGTATGAAGAAAATAATAATAAAATAGTTTAAACAAAATTTTTAAAACATATTCCCAACCCCCTTTTTGACCATGACATTCTTCTTCCCCTTCCTCCCTAAATTTTCTCTTCCTCGATCGCCAGTGAAATTGCAGCGACGGCCGACTGTAGCGAAGCTTTTTCTCCAATCATCGATACTCACTGATTCCTCTCCCTTTTCTCCGTCGCTGCCAATTCCCCTCCCTTGCCTCGTTGTCTGTATTCACCTCTCCTCATTCTCCATCTCGCCAGTGTTGCGCTTCCTTCCCGATTCCCCTGTGTTCGGGAGCAATTGACGGATCTGTGGTCGTTGGCGCCGAAGTAAATGTGAAGGTTGGCATTATGGATGTCCGGGTGGGGACAATGGTTTGAGGGTATGGTGAATACATGGATCTCATGGCCCTTGTCGACGGGGGAATGGTGGAGTTTGGTGATGTAGCGCTCCATTCCGCCTAGATTGGCACCGATCGGCCAGGTTGTGGAGAAGACGAAGAGATTGAGCTTGTCGGATGTGGGGTTGAAATAGAACTTGTTCCGGGAGAAGTTTGTGTCGTGGAGGTCACCGGAGAAGGGTTGGGTTGTGGAGGGTGTGTGAAATTTGGTGAGTGGAGAAAGGAACAGGACCAGGGAAGTTAAGAGAATGTCTGAGCAAGGGAGGAATTTAGAGAATTTCATGGGGGATTGGATTGTGGTGATGAGTTGAGGATGATGAAATGGTAGTGGGTCTCTAGCTATTGTGTTTCAAGCCCATGGCTGATTATGGCAGAGGAGGGATTTTTGCGGGGGGGGGGGGGGGGGGGGGGGGGGGGGGGGGGGACTAATTGTAAGGTTTGGGATTTTGATCAACAGGTCACTTTGTCTTTTTTTGTCCATTTTCTTCGTATTTTTGAAGATATTTTTTATTATTTTGTATACCAACGTCACATCCACGTTATCAATATCTAAATTTCTATTTGTCGCCAGATAAATTACTATTTGTCTCCGACACTTTTAATCAGAATTACAATTTTGCCCCTTAGCTTTTAGAACTGAAGCTCGGCCGAAACTGGAAAAAAAAAACAAATTGTCCAAAAATTGGAGAATTGGTCGCCATAATTGGGGGGGGGGGGGACAGGGTGTCTCCGTCGACCACAAATTCCCGCCACCAACTAAACCCCTGAATCGAAGCCAAACCTACCCCTTCGTCGACCACAAATTCTCCCAATCGAAGCAAGAGACGACACCCCAGAATCCCTCCCGATTAGCGAGATTCATCTTCTATCAAATTAATGCACTCATTTCAATTAACATCCTTAATTTTCCAATTAAAATTGCAATAATCATAATTAGTTTTCAAATTAGGGTTTGTCCATCTCCGTTCATGATGTGATCCCAATTGGTTCACTCTACAAGTTTTTATTGCTTGGTCAAGAAGCAATCTCACCAACTAATAAGAACCCTCAAATTTGGTTGAGTTTTTATTCTGTTTCAGGGAACCTACTTTGCAAGCCTGTTTCTCATGATTGGCGCGATGGAAATTTAAGTAGAACGCTTGGAAGTGAAGTCCATATGTTTATCTATCTGTTGGAAGGGTTGAAAGATAAAAATCAAGTCAATAAGGTGATTTCCCAAAGCCCTCAAGTTTCTACCTCAAAACCAGCACACTACCAGATTTTGGCTAAGTATGGGAACTAGTTAAGGTACCCAACTTTGGAAGCCTATTCGAGGAAGATGGAGGAGAGTCGAACTAAGAGGGCAGTGCCACATGAAAGTGAAGGCTTTCTACTACAACATCAAGGAATTGGATGGAGGAAAGCTCACCTCTAAGGCTTCGAACGAACCATTACAATATCGTATGGAGCCCTGACAGTCTGTTTTCCAACTCTGAATCCTTCTCGGGTTAGTATTACTTTTCTTTTCTGTTTTGAGATTTGATTTCAAGTTAGTTTGTGTTTAGAACTTCTTTTAGTTGTTTATTTTCCTAGATAGCTCTATTTAAAGACCTGCTATTGCATTGTAACACTTAGATTTCATTCAATTGAATACAAACTCTGAGTTTTGGTTCATAAGCTTCATCTTGTGATTGTGTCGAGCTTCCTAGTGGATTCTAGGTTGTTTGATTAGCTTGTATAGATCAATTAGACACATTGATCGTGGCCAGCATCTACCTATCTATTTTGAGTCTTCTCCCTTGTGCAAGATTGCACAAAATTAACCATCGAGACCCATCGAAATTTCCCCTGTTCTTGTTCGAAGTAGTTCAAACTTTGGTTTGAGGTCAGCCGGCGAAGATTTTCGATCAGTGGAGGAAATTGTCACAGGTGATTGATAGTGGTGGAGGGATGCAAAATAGTCATTTACTTCAAAATTTTGGTCGCCAAATAGTAATTCTTCGACCGTAAAATAACTACCCTCTATCAATATTAGGTGACTGGGTAGTGACATGGCGATTTGAAGATCCTAGATTCGAATCCAAGCAAGGACCGTTGGTGTTCCCGGAGGTATAAGGCTGTTGTGGGCGAAGCCCTGTTGGCGTCGCATTGATTGCAGGTGGCCTCCAGGTTTAGTAGGCCCGTCTTCACAAACTTATACTTGAGGCTGAGCTTGCTAGTTAATAAAAAAAGGGATAATACATTTGTATAGCCCGAACTTTTCACATATTAAACATCATGCCCAATATTTTCTATCTATAACTTTGTGGCCCCAACTATGCATCAAAGTTGCAAAAATTGGCCAACCCGAGATTTGACCGTTATCTTAGATGGTCAAACATCGGTCAACCCGCCATGTCACCATCCAGTCAGCATAAATAAACTTAAAAAAATTATGAACTCTACATCATCCCTAATTTCGAATTTTTATATAATTAATTAATTAAATAACCTATTTATCTAATAATTATTCTTCATCTTCTTCCCCAAAATCCCCACTCCCAATCAATTACTGCTTCACCTTCTTCCCCAAATTCATTCTTCCCAAAATCCCCACTCTCAATCCATTTTGCGTCCCTCTCTGCTTCACCTGCTTCTTCCCCAAAATCCCCACTCCCAATCCATTCCTAATCTTTCGCAGTTGTGTTTTAGAGCAGGAAAATCGGTAGAGCTTATTCCTTTCCCAATTCAATGCCCTCGATTTCAGCTTCAGATTCGCTGGCCAAATCCGTGATTTCTCATCTGCATGTTACATTAACGACAAGAACTAAGGTCGGCTAACGAGAGCCCCGCGAGAGCGGCTGAATTAAGTTGGGGGCGAGCTACAAACTCGGCGATCTGAGCCGGGAGTCGCTGGTGGAGTACGAGCCAGGAGATGAATGGGGCGTCGTTCCTGATGTGCTTGAACAAGGTGTGCGGGTACGACGACATCCTCTTAGAGTCGAACGAGTCGACGATGCAGGAAGAGGAAGCTGGCGAGGAAGCTAGCGAACGCAATGGCCTGCGAAGGTTTTTGGGAAATGGCGGGGCCGGATGGGGATGGTCGGGTTCAAGGTGGACCCCTGAGTCAGGCCATGACCGAGTCGATGCGGGAGAGGCTGAACTTGGTGGCGCTGCCAGCACCGTCCTCTCTCTCTCTAATGGGATGCAACGATGGAGGAGAGAAAGATGAGAGGAAGATAGGGATGTATTAAGTTTTTTCATTTTAATTTTAATTTTTTATGGGGAAAGGTAGGAAAATTATGAAATTGCAGATTATGAGAATTTTATGAATTTTTTAATATTTATTGTGCTGACTAGACGGTGACATGGCAGGTTGACTGTCAGTCAACGCGTTTGACCGTCCTAGATAACGGTCAAATCTCGAGTTTGGCCAATTTCGTAACTTTGATCATAGTTGAGACCACGAAGTTATAGATCAAAAAGATTGGTCAGAATGTTTAATATGTGAAAAGTTCCGAAAAAATCCCAAAATACACATGTAATTAAAAAAATCTCAAAATACATAAGTTATAAATAAATTTCCCAATCTACGCATGTTTATCATTCACCGCTTTGGTTAAAAACAGTGAATATCATCACCGCTTTTGTTTAAATCAGGGGAAAATCACTGCTTTTGTTAAAAGCAGGGAAATAATCACCGCCTTTGTTAAAAGCCGGAAAGCCTTCACTGCTTTTGTCAAAAGCGGGGAATAGATCACTACATCCGACAACCATGGTGAAAGGCTGGGACGCAGATCGCTAACAGGGAATACGTCGCATTTGTCCACGTCAGCATCTTTCACCGTTGCCGTCAGATGCAGTGGGGAGCGAATTCTGGTTTTTCTCCAAGATCTTATGCCTTATAACGTCCCATATCAGCAATCTAGGCCATTCACCGCGTTCGAGGAACACAGGCATTTCACTGCATCTGACAAAGGCGGTGAACTCTTTGCCTGCCCCGAAGCATACCCTTCCCCCTATAAATATCACTCCTCCATCCCTTCCAAACCACACCACCACACATTTTATTCTCTCTCCATCCATCCTCCACTCTAGTTTCGTTCTAAGTTTGATATGTGGTTGCGGCTAATTTTGATCTTCCGAATCAAAAAGAATTTCTAGAGTTATTTCCTACAACCCTCCCCTATAAAAACCCGTCGAATTTATGTCCGGCTTCCGTCAAAAAATGGACAAAGAGGTTCTTAGGTTACGTACTTGTTTTTTCCTTTTTGTGATTCTTTTTTGTATGCGAAATAATCCGATTTCATTCAAAAAGAATTTGTAAATGAGTGCCGAGATATAAAACCCTCAATTATATTTCTATCCTCGACCAAGGGATAGGAGGTATTTATCCGATAAAGAAAATCATCGCTCCCGTGCAATTTTGGAACAACAATCCGGTAAAAACTCTGTATCTATATATCTATAAATTATTTATTTAATGCTTAATTTTATTTAATTTCGATTTATTTCAAAGCAAGGAGCTGTGGTTGGTTTACATGTTTAGAGTACATTCGAAAATTAACTACATGTTGTAGCTTTATTTAATTTTACTTTACTACTTAAATTGAATAGGTTGATGGTTTGGAACATGCCAAGCACACCGTCGAGAGTGCACCCACCATGGATGAGCAGAAGACATCTTTTCTACGGAGGCTTATGAACAACCTGCTAAGTTGTACTCGTGAGCAAATGAGAGATGTCATAGCATACTCCCACAATGTCTTTCGATGGGAACGCCATACCCACCTCCAAATTGCCCGTCGGATTATACACTAGCATAGGGACAAAGTCAAGGGCATCGTTTTGACTAGATAAAAGTTGAGATAAAACCTCTGTGTAGTATGGCTTCGGTGGCTCAGGAAATGCCAGCTCGTCTTCTGTATCGTCAGTATCTTCCTCCTTGCTCAATGATCTCAAATCATCCTCACTTTCCTCGTTGCTGGAGTTGTATGGATAGCTCGGGCCAAGAGAATATCATGACCACCACCACCAACATCGTATTCTCGCTCCTGCAAAGTACGCCCAAATCGAATGGTGTTTTCAATGTCAGCCCACTCTGGCCCCCAAAGTAGGCCATTGAACGTCGGCAGGCTCAATAAATGGGGCAGATTAAGCACATTGCGGGTATTCTTCCCATGGCACCCCTCCTGCAGAACTACCTCCTACATAGTTGCTTGAACTACCACCCCATCCATACCCTCCTGCAAAACCATCATCATAAGAATACTGGTGATAATTAGTCTCACTGACCGCCTCGGTCTCAACATACACCTGATACAAGCACAGAACTTGTACTCGTAGTTATCAAAGTACGCAGCTCCAAGAACGAGTAATAGAAAGACTTTTTAGGGGTTTTTGTTTGTTTGGGATAGGATGGAATTGAAAGTGCAATATCAACACAAGATGGGAGAAGCCTCAATCAATATAAAAAATAAAATCTCGACCACAATCAAGGGAAAACTTGATTGATACAAAGAAAAAGTTCAAGCCTCAAGCTCAAAACCAAGATAAAAACCAATATTATGCTAAAAACTAACCCTAAATACAAAAACAGCTTAAACACACAAATTCCCGTCACCTAGGTAAAATACCCGGTCAGCCCTAAAAATACCCGGTCGGGTATTTATACTTAATGGCTGGGGGGCCTTCTACCCTAGAGAGACCGGTGGCTGCCAAAATACCCGGTCGGTGTCTCACAATACCCGCTCGGGTATTTGGCTTCATTGGCCGTGTATTCCCCCGTTCGCCAGTCTTTCTTCCGCTGCTTGGAAATCGCATCAGTCCCTCCCCGTTGGAGAACCTTTGCCCTCAAAGCTGGCGTTTTCCTGCAAGAGACCACATCAACTATATTTCCAAATGAACTTCTCCTCAATGTAGTCAACATGTTCCTTCGAACCATTAGATGCGCTCCACTTTCGTCCTCCAACTTTGAACAATTTGAACTTCCTTTCTCCTTGGCCCAGTTCATGGCCAGCTGTTGTTGATCTTCCCGGACTTCACCTGGTGACAATGGATTTAATAGGAACTTCTGATCGCCTCTCTTGAACCGATAGTTGTTGTGTCTTCCATCATGAATAGCTCCTTGATCATATTACCACGGACGACCCAATAAGATATGAGAAGTCTGCATTGGAGCAACATCACACCAAATCTCATCTGCATAATCAACGATCTGAAAACAAACCTTGGCCTTCTAGTTGACTTTGATGTTCCCATAGTCGTTCAGCCAATGCAGAGTGTATGGTTGAGGATGTTTGATTGTGCCCAATCCCAACTTCTTGACTGCATCCAGGCTAATCACATTGGTGCATCTAACACCATCGATGACCACAAATAACACCTTCCTGTCGACCAGGCAATGAGAGTGAAAGAGATTATCCCTCTGTTCCGTCTCTGTGTAAGCTTCAATAGATAAAGCTTGACAGTTCATTCCAAGAAGTTTACCTGTTGGAGGTTTCTCAGCCTTGATGTGCTCATCCACATCATCATCTTCAGAACCAACATCAAAACCGAATCCATTCCCCATGACCTTCTCTTCATACTCCTCCTCAGAAAAGTACTCTCCATCTCGCAAGGCAAGAGTCTTCTTGTTGGGGCACTGGTTAGCCTTGTGACCTCGATCAAAGCACTTGATGCATTGGATGCTTCCAATTGAGCCATCATTCCAGGCTTGAATGACTGGGGCTATGTTCCTTGCAGCTGGCTTGTCACCTTCTCGCTTAGGGTGATTCATGTTAGCCTCATGAAGGTTCTCTGCAACAGGCTTGGGTGAAGGTGGGTAACTTCTTCCCAAGCTCACCTTCAGCTGCCTCTCTACCTTCATGGCCAAATGCACCGCTTCCTCCAACTCCACAAACCGATGAAGCTCCACTTCATTCTTGACTTCCCTATTGAGCCCATGCAGAAAGCGAGCAATCGTTGTTTCCTTATGAAGCCTCACATCTGCTCTCATCATGAGCAATTCCAGCTCCTTGAAGTACCCATCAACAGAGCAGTTCCTTGCCGAATTCCCTGTAAGGCATCATAGAGACCTCTCTGATAGAATGGCGGAACAAACCGATCACGCATCAAGCCTCAGAGTTCTGCCGAAGTAGAAACTTCAGGCTGCAGATTCCTTCTTTGTCGTTGATGAATCTTTTCCCACCAAACTGCTGCATAATTTGTAAACTCATAGGTGGCTACAATAACTTTCTGATGCTCTGGGTAAGGATTGCAATGGAAAAACATAATCATCTTCCTCTCCCAATCGAGGTAAGCTAATGCACTATTAGTGCCTTGAAACGAGGGGATTGAGAGCTTAATCCCCCGAATCGGTTCAACGCCATAACCTCCTGCTTCCGGTGGTCTTCCTCCATACTCATAATAATCATTCTCATAGTCATTAAATAAAATTCTGTTTTGCGGGAATACTTGACGACGTTGCTCCGTGTATTGGCACCTCTGCATCTGCCAATCTGGGGTTTTAGGAAAAGTTTGGTACACTCGATCTGCTCTTGGACCCTGTCACTCCGCGACTCCAGTCTAAGCTGCGACAAATGCTGGATTCTCTAGTGGTAGTGGATTACCCATTGGTTGCGTCTCCAACCTGGTGATTAGGGTATCCAGACTCTGATTTGTCTCAATTAGCCGACCTTTGGTAGCGTCCTGCTGGGCCAGAAGCAAAGTTCCCATCTGTGCCATCCGTGCAGCAAGCAGCTTCATAGCTTCTGCAAGGTTCTGACTCTGCTCTCACATGACTGGTTCTTCAATTGGGGTTTCTTCTTCAGAGAGTGATTCCTCCTATTCTCTACGTTCTGTAATAGGATATTTGGACCTCGTTCGATAAGCAACAGGTCCTCTCGCTTTCAATCCTATCACTGTGTTGAACCTGAGCTCTAATACCACCTGATACGAGCACGAAACCTGTACCCGTAGTTATCAAAGTACGCAGCTCCAAGAATGAACAATAGAAAGATTGTTTAGGGATTTTTGTTTGTTTGGGATAAGGCTCAATCAATATAAAAGATAGAATCTTGACCACAATAAAGGGGAAAACTTGATTGATACAGAGAAAAAGTTCAAGCCCCAAGCTCAAAACCAAGATAAAAACCAATATTCTGCTAAAAACCAACCCTAAAACCCGAGTTTTAGCCTTTATATAGGTCTGGACAATTAAAAATAACAAAAATAGTTTAAACACACAAATTCCCGTCACCCAGGTAAAATACCCGGTCGGGTATTTATACTCAACGGCCGGGGGGCCTTCTGCCCAAGAGAGACCGTTTGATGCAAAAATACCCGGTCGATGTCCCACAATACCCGGTCGGGTATTTGGCTTCATTGGCTGGGTATTCCCCCCTCCACCAGCCTTTCTTTCGCTTCTTGGGAATCGCATCAACATCTCTGCAAGCCGCATCTCGTTGTCACCTAGGAACTGTAACATCATGGTCACCGCGTCATCATCATTTATGACAAAGGCTTCGTACATAACCCCGCCAACACTCATGTTTGGATACCAGTAGGTAATTTTACCAACTCTCATCAGTCCGCCCATACAAACCATGTCTGCACAAATGTCATGGAGTACTTGCTACGTGAATCTCGACTCAATTTTCAACATAGTGGATTCACTGTCTTCATAATCGATCCTAAAGTCAAAGTTTGTCACTCGACCATTCCACCGAATAAGAAGCTGAAACTTCTTGAATTTACCCATATATGCTATTTATCATAAGTAACTATTAGGTTAAGTCCAATAAAATTAACCAAAATCATATTTTTACGGCTACGAAAATAATATTATCCAAACTCATAAACAAACCCAACTATTATCAGCAGCAGCTACGTGGGAGGGAGTATTTATTTGACAAACAGAACGCACTCCCCGCTGTTGTTCAAAGCGGTGAAGGTAGGGATGGCAATAAAATCCGAACCCACGGGTACCCGACCGACCCAACCCGGCCAATGCGGGTAAAACCCCTGTTGACGGATTTTTGGCCGGGTTGGGGTTTAAACCCGCTACACTATTCATCGGGTTGGGTTTGGGTTTAGGTAAACCCGCCCCATGGGTACCCGCCCACACACTTATAATTACTTTCCTGTTTAGGTAAACCCGCCCACACACTTATTCTAAATAATATATCTTCCTTAAACAACTAATACTTTTTATGTTTGTGGAGACATGTATAATTTGTTCTTTCTAATTGTTTAGAATGAAGTAGATATTATGAGGTAGAGAGTGAAGAAACTTAGTTGACGAGGAAGAAGCTTTCAATTAATCTTATTGTTTATAGATGTTTATCTTTAATTTGGAACAATTTGTATTGATCATTTGCGGTTTGCTTGTAGCTCTAGATTTGTGTTTTTTGTATGAATAATTAGAATGAGAAAATTGATGTTAAACTTTTATTTTGAAAGAAACTTGTTATTGTAAATTTTTTACCACAAAAACCCACAGGTACCCATGAACCCGCGGATACCTAGCAGGCTGGGTTGGGTTTGAGTTTTTCAAACCCAACGGGTTTTGCCCCGGGTTCTTTTGGCGGATAAACCCATGGGTTTGACAAAACCCGCCCCAACCTTACCCATTGCCATCCCTAGGTGAAGGCGTTCCCCGTGCCGCCCTAAAGCGGTGAAAACTAGGTGGTTGTGATCTAAGTATTCACCTACAAGGGTTGAGAAACGTGGCTTGTTCACCGTAGTAACCTAACACGGTGAAAGATCCACCGCTTTTCTTTACAACGGCGAAGTATTCCCCGCTTTCGGTTAAAGCGGTGATTATTTTTACACACAAAAAAAGCGGTGATTATTTAATTGTTTTAAACAAAAGTGGGGAATTTTTCACCGCTTTTGTCTTAGGCAGGGATAATTTCACTGCTTTTTCCAGATGCGATGAATTGTTTCACTGCGTTAGACAAGAGTGGTGGATGACAAATATGTGTAACTTAAAATTTTTTTATAACTTAGGTATTTTGAGATTTTTTTTAATTACATATGTATTTTGATCTTTTTTGGTGAAAAGTTGGACTCATATAAATATATTAACTCTAAAAAAAACCCGGAAAACAAACAATCAGGTAGCCCAAAAGACCAAAAGCGAATAGAAAGAGAGAAAGCAAAGAAGGACAGAATCACACACAACACAGAATTCCCTCTCTGTCTGTTCTTTCCGTTTCCACCCCCTCTGCTTCAATCCTTCTCCGTTCATTCTCATCGCCAATTCTCTAATCGCCGGTCGAATTGACCTTCGCTTCTGCTCCCTTACTCGAGCTTCTGTCTCTATTCGCAGTTACCTTTTTGCTGACACTGGTTTTTCTTCCTCGTTTCTTCTGTTTGTGAGAAAATCATCCGGCGCTCGCGCCGCCGAAGGAAGACTTCCGCTAGCGGTGGGTTGTGAAATTCCCCCCCAGTTGGACTTCACATGCCGTCCAATTGTGGGATGCAATCTCAAGATTTGACTGGGCGGTGATGTGAAGTGGCGAGAATGAATGAAGGAGGGATTATGGGATTAGAGTCCGCAGGTGCCGTCCACCATTCCTCCTTTGCGGTTTCTGCTACAAAATTTATTGCCGCTACTACGTCTCGGCGCTCCTCTGTTGCATCTTCTACTGATACGACTTCTTCCTCTTCTTCCAATCGGTGATTGATCGCTTCATTTGCGGTTGGGTGATTAATGCATTGAACTGAATGGGGAGAGGAGGCGTTTGATTGGTAAGTTTGGTGAGTTTTTGTGGGTTTTTGTGATACTCTTGTCGTTGGTCAATGGATGGGGACAAGGAGGGTACTGGTGAGGCTCAAGTGCTGGAAGGTACTTCGACGCCATGGCAGCCGAGGCAGCTAGCTTTCAAGCCATATCAACCTTCTCACCGGTTGCAAACTGAGCGCGCTGTTGTAAAGAGACCTGTAAGTGCTTCTCTGCTCTCTTACTGGTCGGGAGCCTGTTCTTTGCATTGGATTTACATATTTGCAAGAACTTGCTGGTGGACGGTAAGCGGAATGCATTCTCTCGCGGACCATAAACAAATATTCACTGATCCGGACAAAAAAAAATGTTCTTGATTAGTTTTTTCTCCGGGTTGCAATCTATTAGAATATAATGTACTCATGGATTCGTGAGTTATGTAACATAGAGCAGGAGTTAAGTGGGTGGATTAGTACATAACTAGAGAAGAAGTACCCTGCATTCTATTCCTATATTGTCAACAGCTTGCAGTACATATTGCTAATTTTCAGTTTGCCAGTTTAGGAATCACCCTTTTCACTATGGATGTCAGCGATCAAGCTCTAAAAATTCAAGGTCACTTCTTTTACACCAGGAGCTATAATGTTAGTGCTTTTGAGCTTCCTTGTAGGAACTGATAGCACTAGGTGGGTTAAGCTTCACGTAGTTTCTGGTATATACTGTATTTGTTCTCTGATAGGCAACTTCGTTTTGAGTCTGTGGGTGTGTAGTGAGTTGTGTAATGCAAGTATCGTTAGAAGGTTGTTGGTACCTTAGTTCAAACAAGAACTGGACTGTTAAGCCTTTGCTCTAGTATTTCCCTTTGGTAGAAGCTATATGCTTATCATTGCTACTTTTTGCAAGCTAAAGCTTCTTTAGTGAATTATATTAATCCTTCTGGACCTCCCTTACACATATTCATCTCGGACATTTTCAGAAGTATGGTGTTATCTCCCATGCATGTAGTCTAGTTTACTCATAATCATTCCACTGCTAGAAGTGTTTTGAGTGAACAATTGAATGACCATTTGGTGGTCTATGAGAATGTATGTCATAAGATGCATAAATTATATTGCTAATTGCTGCTGGATTATATACCTTCTTTAAGTGAAGGTGGCACTAGCCTGCATGTCCTTGTTCTGGTTCAGCCTTTTTGTCTTTGCGTAAGATCAATTATCTTATTACCTTTATATTAATCAAGGGGAGTCTGTTATGATAATTGATGTCTATTATGTCAAGGGAGATTGAATTTATTAGAGTTGAGTCGTTCTGCTAATTGATGACTTTTAATATGCAGTTGGTGGCAAGATTGACCAAAGACATAGTTGAAACTTATAAAAAGTGCAATCCCCAATTTAAATATTCAGAAGACTTAAATCCGAAGAGATATTTGACCAGTCCATCAATTGGAGTTCTCAATGATGGCCATGATAATCTAAACTCGGACCTTATTTTGAGCGTGAATTGCCCCTTGATCAATGTCGAGACTCAAAGAAGGTTTGTTCAGGCTTTTTTCTTCACTCCTTCTCGCTCTATAATCAATCAATAAAGCATGTTGATAAAATTTTATATATCTGAAAATTTTATAATACAGGCTGAATTACTGGTGATGTTGGATGATCTATGATGATCTTTAATGTTCTTAGGCAATAATCCACCTCACTGTAGTAATAAGTTTATTTTGGATAACTTAACGGTGGAATTGGTTGAAGTAATTGGCCATCAGATGTCTTTAAAATTCACTTTTCTGGTTCTTGTTTGTATTCCCTTTTGCATTCAATTCTTGTGTTTCTGACTTGGCAATGCGCCCCTCTGGCTTCAGCGTGTTTTCTACTGAAGCCATGAGCTTTTTGAGGCAATTTGTGCCAAAAATGAGTACCAGCATCTTGTGGTTCCATTTCCTTTTGGAATCTGTTTGTATCCTAATACCTGTTTGCTTCTGGAAGTCGTTCAATTGTAACATCTCTGCTAGTTTGCTTACTACAGCTGATTTATGTCTTAGCTTGATCTTTTATTAAAGTTCGATAAGTGCATGGAAGTGTGATGCACTGTATGAATGACGATAGTTTAATTTCTTTCAATTTAATGGCTTGGTCAATACTCTGATATCTGCAGATACGTTGTCAAAGATGTCCTTGGCCATGGGACTTTTGGCCAGGTTGCTAAATGTTGGGTTGCGGAAACTAACAGTTTCGTTGCTGTAAAGATAATAAAAAACCAACCAGCTTATTATCAACAAGCACTTGTTGAAGTATCTATTTTGACAACGGTAATTATGAAGCTGTTTTAAATGTCTTCTCATCCATGTTTGCAGTCTGATGCTGATGCTCGTTTTGTTTCATTTTTCAGCTAAACAAGAAGTACGATCCTGAAGATAAGCATCATATTGTTCGTATCTATGATTACTTTGTCCATCACCGGCACCTGTGCATTTGCTTTGAATTGCTCGACACAAACTTGTAAGTTGGCCTCAGAAACTCACTGCTTAATTTATGGTGTGCTACTCCATCTGTTGGTTAATAATCTTGATCACAATATTTTTCTATGTATTTTTGCTATGTATATTATATTTGATAGTTTGCTGCTACCAGGTATGAACTTATCAAGATAAATCAATTTAGGGGGCTATCTTTGAGCATTGTGCAATTATTTTCCAAACAGGTAAAGCATATGGCTGCTTTTTATTATTTAATATCTCCATTCTGCTTCGCTTGCTTTTGTTTGCTTATTTTTAAACTGTTACTGCTTTCAACAGATCTTACGTGGATTGGCGTTGTTAAAAGATGCTGGTATAATCCACTGTGATCTGAAACCAGAAAATGTTCTTTTGTGCACAAGGTAGTTGTCTTGAAACAATGAGGCTTTTTTTTGCTGAAAGACTGACCTTTCATCATTTCCGTTTGACATTCTTTCTGCCTTTGGAAAAACAGTTTGAAGCCAGCAGAAGTTAAGATAATTGACTTCGGATCAGCCTGCATGGAGGATCGTACAGTCTACTCTTACATCCAGGTTCAATATTTGTTTAATTAGCTGGTTTATTTATTTATTTTATCAGAGCTCTTTTCTTTTGCATAGCTCACATTTTTCTTTTTGTTTGCAGAGTCGTTATTACCGGTCTCCTGAAGTTCTTCTAGGGTATCAGTATCCTTCTAAATGAATTCTGGCTTTTTAGTGATGTTTTCTTTTCCATTTTAGGTTTCCTTGCTTCTTTTGTTGGATATCCTAGAAGTATAAATATATGCTAAAACAAAGTGAGCAGGTGAAGAGAATCAGAAGATCTCAGTTAAGCAGATATAGGGACCTGGACAAAATTCAAGTTTAAAGTTTAACACTTGGTAGAAAGCTATTGTTTGGGCATTTTCATTGTGCGCAACCTTGATTTAGTGGAAATGTCAAACATGCAGCATCTAAGCGGTTGCACTTCTGGTGGTACTTTGTCCTATGTTAACTATAAAGCAGCAAGCATTATAAGACTCTATTCCATGCTGTCAATTGCACCTTACCAAAATATTAGCTTGATAGTTTGTCGTGGTCAGTTAGTTATCCATTGGATGCATTGGAATTCTCATCTGTGTTTGATCTTATTGTCACAAACTTATGACTTGACCTTAGCCATTTCAAGATATACTACTGCAATCGATATGTGGTCCTTTGGATGCATCGTTGCAGAATTGTTTCTAGGGTTGCCTCTCTTCCCTGGGGCCTCAGAGTTCGATTTGTTAAGGCGAATGATTGAAATACTTGGGTAAGTCCGTATTCTTACACCCAAATTGTTAGTTCATTAAGTTCAATGATCCGTTAAAATTTGGGGTAATTAGTATGTATTCTTTTTTGAACAATAATTATTGTATACTCCATGTTTCACTTCAATGAAGGAGACTTCTTCTTCAACCTAGTCATTGATATATTACTACATTTCTGTATGGATCTTTTTGTGTCAATGTAGTTTTTCAATTTCCATATTTTTTGCCCCTTCATCTGTCTGCTAGTTGAATTCCTAAATCTTGGTTCTGTCTTTTGGTATTTGTTATTTCACTTCTGTACTGGGCATATCGATCTCTAAAGCAGGTCCTCTTCAGTTTCCATTTCAGGTGCACATCCTAAAGTTTATGACCTAAACAGTCCAATTCTAATAATTTGTAGAGTACATCCTCGCGTCTCTTACTTTGACCATCCACCAATACGGAAACTAAAGGAAGTACAAAAACTATAACTTAATTAAAAGAACGCTAAACCTAGAACTAAAGCTAAAGATGGCTGTGTGACCAAACATATAGCAAGGTAGGATTTCATTTCCCATGCGGTTTAGACTTTGCCCATTATATAGACCCAAGTGAAGTTGAATATTTCATACACTGTTCTTGTTCTCCTTTTTCCATGAGTTGTTGACAATGCTCTATGAAAGAATACTGTTTTGAATGATTCTTGGACTTGGCATATTTGGTTGAAATGTTTTAGACGACAACCTCCTGATTATGTACTGAAGAATGCAAAGAACACCGGCAAATTCTTCAAATGTATTGGCAGCATTTGCAACTTAGAGGGTGTGGAGGCCTTCGGTGGCAGAACTGCTTATCAAGCACTAACTATAGAAGAATATGAAGCTGTAAGTTTTTTCTGTTTTTTTAAGTGGAAACCTTTAAATATTGGATAATTGGGGAGCATTGATGCATGACTGTGCGGCTCTCCTTTGTTAACTGTCTGTTCAGAGAGAAATGAAGAAACCAGCTATGGGGAAGGAATATTTTAACCGTATGAACCTTGAGGCTATTGTGACAAACTATCCCTACCGGAAGAACTTGGCACAAGAAGATGTTCTGAAAGGTGTATTTCTTTATCTAAAGAATATCTACATAATGACTTGTTTCTATGTGTCTTCATCGGTGTTGGAGAAGGACCTGATGAAATTTTGACTGTGTACAACAGAAAGCCAAATACGATTAGCTCTGATTGATTTCTTGAAGGGACTTGTTGAGTTTGATCCTGCGAAAAGGTGGTCGCCTTTTCAGGTAATCAAGTTGCCATTCAGATATTTATTCAGTAGTTGCAGAGCTGATCTCTTTAGATGTGCTATTATGAATTTGTAACCGCTTCCTAGATATAGTTTTAACCCAAATAGTCATTCTGCAGGCCTCGAAGCATCCTTTTGTTACAGGAGAACCATTTACATGCCCTTATAAGCCTCCTCCTGAGACTCCTCGCATGGTAGGACCTTCAGTACCAACTTTATATACCATTACAACACTGTGGCTCATCTCAAGGCAGTGAGCTATTTGTTCACTGCAATTCACCTTCATTGCCTTTTTTTAGTTTTCTTCTATGTTGCTGATCTTCTTGATGAACACATGCTGGGCATAGGAAGACCTTACCTGTAAATCTTGTGTATGTTGTGCTTGTATTGCTTTATATGTGAAAACGTGCTCTTTGGGTAATTGAAGTGATAGCACTTTCTGTTGAAGCGAGACTAATGTTCTTTTGTATGGACATTTGTGCTGACCTCTCTCCACCTATATCTTCCTCTTTGCATCAATGTGTTTTTCAGCCTGTCGCTCAAAATATTAAGGTGGACCATCATCCTGGTGGTGGGCACTGGTTTGCTGCTGGTCTATCTCCTAATGTAAGCTGCTCTCTTTTTCGTCTCTTGATATTTTGGAGCCCTTCTTGAAAAGAGGAGGTAAAACAAAAGTTGCTCATTCCATCATATGAGCGCAAAATCAACTAAAGCTGCAACTTGGTGACAGCTAAAACACAGATGCTTTTATTTCAGGTTCAAGGCAAGATGAGGAATTCCATGCATAACAGCCCACATTTTCCGATGGTTCCATATTCACATGCAAGTAGCTATGGTACTGTAGGAAGCCATGGTAGCTATAATGATGGCTTGGGCCTTGGAAGTAGCTATGGAAGTTATGGTGATAGCAACAATATGCTGGCATATTATTCACCAGTTAATCATTCTGGAATAAATATGCATCCACAGCATGGTCAGTCTATGCTTGGTGGTAGCCCTGATGCAAGGCAGAGATTTGTCCAATATTCACATGGAAATGGGCTTGGTGTAAGCCCCTCGGCAGGGAATTTTGCTCCTTTTCCACTCGGTGCAAGCCCCTCACAGTTCACTCCTCCAGCCTCTTACAATCAGGTTTCAGCTGGTTCTCCTGGACATTATGGTCCACCTTCTCCTGTAAGGAACAGTTGTCATGGATCGCCTCTGAGTAAAATGACAGCAGCTACTCAATTCAATAGGAGAAAAAATTGGGGACAACATTTTGAGAATCCATGCTCTAGCCAAGGTGAGGGAATTGTCTTGGCCCCTGGTGGTCAGCCGTCACACCCGCTTCCAAATTCTAGTACTGCTAGCTGGATGCAGCAACAAGGGGGCAGTTTTGTCCCAGGTCAATCTTTGGTTCAGAATGTGCCAGGCTCGTCGAGATCTGGTATTAGCATTCCATTTTCACAAAGCACTGGATTAGATCATGACAAGCCTGAGGATAATCTGTTATTGCCACACCCGGGGGATTGGGATCCAAATTACAGGTGAGAAGGCTAATGCATCTTCTGTTTCACTTGTTGAATTTGGTGGTTGAGACATGTGTCACAAAAATAGGAAGTATTTGGTTTAGCTTTTCTGGAAAAAAGTTGACTAAAAGTTTAAGAGTAGATTGCTCGCATGCATTGTGTTGTACATAGTGATTATAGGAGAAAATTTGGGATTAGCAAGTTCGTTGTTTTCACTGTGGTTGGGATAAGCCCAAGCAAGCACACCATTACAGGTGGAACTACTTAGCAGGCTGACTATCCAATCTTTACTTGCAACGTGTATTATTTTTGGTCTTTATACAAGACCTGACCGGATTGAAACTAGCAGTGGCTTTGGTTGTTATTACTTCTGCAGGAGTTATTTGATGTTTTGGTCACTTGATTGCTTTCTGTGCATAATACATTGTTTTAATTCCAGTTAGGATCAAGGTACTTTGTTAGGGAAAATTGAATCTTTTCTATCCATGCTTTCTCTTCTGTCATCAGACTTTTTTTTTGTTTTTTGTTTTTATATATCATGAAGCAGTGAAAGGTGCTTTTGCTGTTGTCAAGCCTCTGATGCTCATTGGATCATAGTGTCACCATTTATGCTGAACTGATTGAATCTTGTGCATGTTTCAGCGATGAACTTCTTCTGCAAGAGGATGTTTCTGATGTTGGCTCCCTAAGTACTGAATTCAGTAAAGGTGTCAATCTTGGTTCAGGCGATCAGTCAGCTACTCTAAGAAGATCCAGCCATCAATCAAATCTGAGCTCTTATTCTTTAGTTCAACGGTATGGTCATGATAAGTTAATCCTACACTTTGTTTTCTCGTGTTTTGTCATCGATGAAGCTAACACAAGCAAAGTAGCAGCTTGAGTGGATAAGTACATAAGTTCTTGGTATTATTGACTGGTACTTTGAATAATTTTTTCTGTTGGCATTCTACTGGTAATTGGATTGGCATTACTTCCATATCAGAGTGTTGCTTGCAAGTTGAATCCTGTCTTGTTATCCATCTCTTGTACCAGACAAAATGGTTTTGTGCAACCATTTTCACATGTCAATGTCGGAAGCCCTCCTTCAGTGCATGAACTGCATACTGGTATCTATGGCCGTTCAATGCCAAAGCCGTCCCATTTCACACCCCATCTTCCTCAGAATTCTCCAAGCCGATTAGGACAGCAAGCCAGCCATCGGGGTACTCATGGGAGACCTTCTGCTTATGGTGGGGATTGGAATAACATCAAGGTTCAGCCCCCACAGTCTAGCTTTAGTTCCGGGGGCCCACGTTCTCCTGGAAGTAGTTCATACAACAACGGCATTCCCTTTGGTATATGTCCAGACTCACCCTGAAATCTGAATTATCGCTTCTTCATTCAAACAATCTGGTTTTGGCCAGAGCATAGCGTAGGGTGGTATGACCCAATTCTGACATAGGTACTGTATTACATGGTTTTGTAGGACGTAGGGCCAATTATCCAGGACCAAGCATTCCTCCTCCAACATCTAGAGGAAGAAAAGATTATGGAAGAATTGTGTAGTTTTTGGTTGTCACCGATTCTTTTGCTGCAAGGAACGCAATGTATTGAGCGTTGGAAAAGGAAGAGTTGTACTCAGTAGTCCACAGGCTTTGTGGACCGATGCTTAGGAAAATCTTCATCCTCATTCGTTCTGCTTGCATAAATATAAGCTGTGTTGTTTTTTCTTTTTCTTTCTCCTGTGGCTTAAGTTGTGCATGTGCAATCAGATTTCAAATTTTTTGTCATCCTTTCTCATGTGCTTATACCGCATAGTGTGGATCATGAGTTTATTTATGCAATGCGCTCATTTCAGATTGCCATTATTTGTCTTCAATTGGATCTAACTTGGTTATTGAAGTGATTGCAGTAGTTGCAGGGCAGTAATTTCAGCTGGGTACCACGTAGAAGAAGTGAGAACTGGAGCTTGTTATCAAATGATAACAGATTGCTTTCCAGGTTTTTTAGAAGAAGTACATAAGCTATATCTGGGTTTAGTTGTATGGTTATATTGTCAACTAATTGTGTTTTGCTGCATCAAGTTTACTGTGTCTGTTGCCAAGTTCTCACGAGTTTGGGATCGCATAGTAGACCGATGCTATGGTTTGCGCTTACTGGAGAGGGAAAAATACATGTGGAGTTTTCTTTCCTTTTTGTACGGTTTTATCAAGTCGCCGTAGTTAACCACTTGATTGAGATGCAGACAGCCTCCTAAATCAGTTGCATGAGTCTCTGTTAGGTATCTGGACTCGGATGGTGTGTGCTATATTTCGTTTCAATTGTTGCATCGGCCTTGTATGGACCAATATTCTTATTGATCTATCGGGTGGATGTGTGTTTGTAAGGCGAAGTCGAAGTATGTTGACTGATTTTTTGTGGTATGTTGGTGCTGGGGTTGCTAATTGTGGTTTTCTAGTAAGCATCCTAGTCCGTTACCGTAATGTAGGAAGGAATGTGAGTAGGGGTGTCAGGTCGGGTTGGGTTCGGTTACCCGAAAAAACTCGAAAATCCGAAACCGAAAACCACTAAAATCGAACCCGAGTCCGATAAGGACTTGTGGGTTGCGGTTACCCGAAACCCCAAAATTCCTTATCGGGTTCGGGTTCGGGTTCGGTTAAAGTAAAACCTGTTTGAACCCTAACTGAGTGTAGGAGTGAGGTTCGGGAAAATGAGTCGAGGAGAATAAGCAATGAGAATCAGCCGTGGATCCAAGAACAAAGAAAGGGAAGAATGAAACCGAGAGAGTTATCTTTTAGTGAGAGAAGTCTGTTCTTTTGTCTAGAGATAGAGTCTGAAAAATCTGATCCCCTCACCCACCGGAGTAAATGCCTTATTTATAGGCTACATGGTGGTGGGTGAGTTACATGCTGACATGTCATGGTGACATGACTACTGACATGTCAGAAGACTAGGCCATATCCCTATCTAGGACAAGTACACTTAACCTTTCATTATACCTAGGACTGTGATGTGACCACTCGATAGGTGGGACACGGCGTCGTTTCCCGTACTCGCTAATTTAGTCAACACTGGACTCGGGCTGCCCTTGGACGCGCTGGCGCTGATGCACCCGTCTCTAGGTATTCGCGCTCGCCGATGTATTCGCTCGTGCCGGTGCTGGCGCGCCCGCCTCTCAGTATTGACGCTCGGCGTTGTGCTTGCTCCCGCCGATGCTGGTGCGCCCGTCTCTTGGTGTCTGTGTTTCTTTGGCGCGGCGGAATCCGAGTCACATGCCCAACAATTGCCCCCCATCAGGGGGTGTTCTGCGAACGCCGCCTTGACTTCCGCGCGATTGACTCGGGTCCGCGTGATCTTCGTGCGCGATTGACTCTGATTTCTGCGCGATCCTCGTGAGTTACTTGACACTTGTGACCAATGTCACAAGTGTCAAGTACACGCGCGCCAACACCACCTCCCGTCCACTGAGTTCCAAGGCAATTTAAGCGCATGGCCTTTCGCGCAATGGGGAGTGGACCTCCTGGGCCCCTTTCCAACGGCCAAGGCAAAGCGCAAGTACATAATTGTGGCGGTCGATTACTTCACCAAGTGGAACGAGGCAGAAGCATTGGCCTCAATAACGGCGCATCAGGTAACACGCTTCTTAAGAAGCAACATCCTGGCCCGCTTTGGAGTCCCCAATGCATTTATTTTCGATCATGGGAAGCAATTCGACTGCGCAGAGGTGATCGACTTTTGCGACCAGGTGGGCGCCATTGTGAGGTTCGTATCGGTAGCTGATGACTCGGTATTTGCACATGTTTTCCCCTTTGTTTCTTGATTGTTTGAGCTTGAATTATCGTGTCTTTGGCCTATTTTACGCTAGGTTGTGTTCCTTTGTCACATTTCAGGTTCTAGCACATAAAGTGAAGCATAGGCGCAAGTTTCAAGTCAATCAGAGATCAATTGACGATTCGAGAGAAGAAACTCGGGTATGACCTGAAGAAGAATGGACTTCTACCTCACTTTATGGACAAAGAATCATGCAAGCTTGTCATGAAAAGAAAGAGGACGAGACTACAAGCGTCTGGGATCAAACGGCGACTGATTCGGAGTCCGGACAAGGGAGAAACGAAGCATTAAACAGAGGCTGAGCAAGCCACACGGGCACAACCCACACGGCCGTGTGGCCTGGCCGTGCGAGTCGGGAATTGCTGTTTAAAACCCGATTTTCAGCAAAAGGAAAGGGGGAGAGCTGGGGTTTTGGTTCCAAAACACCCAAGGGACGAACCCTAGAGAGAGAGAGAGCGACTTGGGGACATTCTTGGAGCTATTTTGGAGGATTTCTTCGCCATTGGAGCTCGGGAATCAAGCTTGGAGATGGAGATTGAAGATCTAGATCAGATTTCCGCAGTCTCTCTCTTCTCTATGGAGTAACTTCCCTTCACTTAGGTTTTGAGGAACCCTAGTTCCATTAGTTAGGATCTTTCTTGTATGAAGTTTTGGATGCTATATTGTTTGATTATAATCGAATGATGCATGTTTATTGAGTCAATTGAAGTCTGATCAACTTTTCCTGATTTCTGCTGCAATCTGAGATAGATAGAATCTGATTAGGTTGTTAGAGCCTCATCATTCGGTAGTAGGAGATTGGCTATACGAGAGTTAGCCAGTTTACTGCTTTGTACTGGAATCCAATTCCAGTAGTGGAGTTCTGTGCTTATGGCTTCAGCTTTCTATCCCGGTGAAGACTAGTCGTCTGCCGGGTAGTTAGACTGAGAGGGCTTGGTCAGCTTAAGAGATTCCAAGCTACTTTCGGATCTTCCGCAGTTTAATCAACAGTTAAACAACCAAAAGGAATTACAACTTGGACCTAATTGAGGAGCTAGGGGGAATCATACCTAAGTGAGTTCCCAAACTGTAATTAGTAGTTTTACTTAGTTTAGTTAGTAGAGTAGTTTAGTTAATCAATCCTTAATCTAGTCTGCTAGATAATGAACTGAAGCTGAGTAATAGTAACTCTAGAGACCCGTGGATTCGATATTTATTACTTGTGCCACTATA